CGACTAGCAGCAACCGGCTAGCAGTAACCGACTAGCAGCAACCGGCTAGCAGTAACCGACTAGCAGCAACCGGCTAGCAGTAACCGACTAGCAGCAACCGGCTAGCAGTAACCGACTAGCAGCAACCGGCTAGCAGTAACCGACTAGCAGCAACCGGCTAGCAGTAACCGACTAGCAGCAACCGGCTAGCAGTAACCGACTAGCAGCAACCGGCTAGCAGTAACCGACTAGCAGCAACCGGCTAGCAGTAACCGACTAGCAGCAACCGGCTAGCAGCGGTCATTGTTGATGTTTTTCACTGGATGATGACATTATTCTGGTTATCTGATGCTAACTTCTACTAACACTTCCAACTCTGCTAAGTATAATATTTAAAAYCTAAATTCAAAATGTGCTCATAAAAAAACAATATGGGTGGTACCTGTGGTCCAGCAGTTTGAACTGCAGCTCAGACACCAGCCACAACTGCGAGTTTGATGTCTTGTAGGGAAGCTTCAGCTGCATCGGCGCGCCAGCTTTTGCAATTGTCTCAGGATGATGACATCATAACATGAGCCGAGCACCAACAGCAAAAGGCTGCATTCCATTCCAAAATTCCTAAATGTGAACTTCAACATTTAACTTCAACATTCAGGGTTTAACTTTTACATTTAGATTTACACATTCAGATTTAGGATTTACTATTTACATATATTTTTTTTACATTTAAATTTAACAGTTTGTAAATTAGCTAAATGTAAGAACAGTGAGCTAAATAACAACAATTTTGGAGCCAACACAAATAAAGATGGCTGCCACAGRCACCTGAGTTAAAAACACAAAAAATACCTAAAAGCTAGCTAATTTTTTAAATATTGAGGTAAAATTTTGTGTGCCGGCAGCTGAGATTTTGTCACAACATAAACTCCAAATTCTTCTCTTTGGGCAAGATTTTCACCAAATTTCTTAGCATTCAACATTGGAGCAAGCCTGTTTTTCTATTAGCAAAATATCTCATGAACCAATGGGTGGATTTAAATTAAACCTTATGTAAATAATAATTAGCTGGAACTCTACAACTGATTAGATTTTGGACTCAATCCAATTCAAGATGGCTGCCACAGCAAAGCCATCTTGCCATCACAAACATGGCTAAAATTCAATTAATTTTAGCAATACTGAGCTAAAAATTGACGTGGCAGTAGATGAGATTCATTTAATGTCTTTTTCTGTCAGACGGTCTTGGTTTGAGTTTAGTTTTTGTGCACAAGAACAGAGTACGTTGGTGCAAAATACATTCTGCACCAAGAATAGATGTAAAAACTTTTAGCACCGGATGAGAAATCAAGAGTCATGAAAGTCTGCGCTGTATTAAAAATAACTTTGCTCTTAGCGGAGGTGGAGGCTGGAGACTTCCAGCTCCGTTTGAGTTATGAGTCACTGCAGGTGCAACAAGATTAAATCCATAAAATACTGTCAGGAGAACTAATTCAAAATTCAAAGGAGGAAACAACAAACCATCCTGTAGGTGACGAACCGTTTTCCGACTGAGTTTCCAGCACGTGTAATATTAAAACATTTTTCTCTGTTTTAAATTCACTCCAATAAAATAAAAAGTGTTTTCAATCCTGGAATATATCATTATTGTGCAGAAAATAAAGTCAATTTGCTTTAATGTACAGAAAAAAAGGGAAAAGTAAATGAAAAGACAAAGAAGGTGAAGGACCCTCCAAATGATMTCTATGAAAATAATCTTGTTAACATCTTTTAATCTGTTCAAATTAATAATTTACTAACAATCTCTGTGTAAGCATCATGTCTTCTTTGTTTGGACTGAATGAAGACTTTACTGTTGGGTTTGGGGCCCTGAGCAAAAAAAATAAAACCACAGCTCCACCAACTGTTGGAGAAATGCAGGAAAACTACACTCCGAAGTCTGGAGAAAATTACGGAAGAGATTAGTAAGGCCACAGAGCAAAAATATTTTTTATCAAGGGTTCTGACTTTTTTCTTAATTCTGACTCTTTTTTTTTTTTGTCAAAAATGCTCAGAATCCTGACTTTTTTTCTCATAATTCTTGGATGAAAGCCAGAACTTAAGGGAAAAATATATTTATTTTTGGTCTGTGGCCCGAATCCTCTTCCATAGAAGATGCAGTCAAACAT